TAGGCCCAATCCTATAGGACGTCAACGTATCTTGTGATAATGCCTGAATCCAATCTATGCAGGCTTCGTCTTTTTTTTGATGCAGGAATCCGAAGCCATACAGTGGGCACACTTGAATAGATGGCTTCTTGCTTTTTTGTATAAGCTGGCTTCTGATAGAAAGGGTACAAAATGACATCATACGAATTCGCTTACAGGTTTTCTTACATGGTACCAATGATAACGATATCTCATGTGGCTATGACGTCGTCGTCTTTTCTCATCGTGTGCGCTTCGTTTGAGCGTTACTGTCTCACTGTGAATTCTCCATTTCTTCCATTCGCTCAAAAGTAGGTTGAATTCAATGGGCAAACACTAGCTTTCTCTAAGCTCCTTTGCAAAGTGCGTTAGAGTTAGAGGGGTCGTGGTTGCGGGAAGGGAACATATTGGACGGGTTATTCCGAAATTTCGTGGAAAAGTTCAGAAAGTGAGCGTGAATTGACCAAAACTAGAGGGGTTAGTTCTACAAACCATATCCCCGCAAAACGGCTGTTTGGAGGAAAAACGGGGAGGGGGAGTCGGAACTTGTTGTCTGTTTAGAACAAACACTATAGCAACAGCCATAGGTAACTAGCGTGGTCGGGGTGGAGAGCGGAGGTCGTATTGAGGGACTCTCGAAAGGCAAATAGTGGTGGTGGGGGTTGTATCAAGACCTCCTGAGAAATGGGGTTTCAAAAATTTAGTAGAAACAACGCTATAGTTGGCCTTGCTTTCAAGTGCATGTGCAATAGACCGGAGCAGAAGTTTCGCGATAGCCTCGTAGACCATTCGTGCTCCGTGCCTTCTGTACTAACCAGGGAAGGCATTCAATTCCCATGGAACTTTGAATGAGACCCAGATATATCGATAGAGCTTCAAACGCTGATTACAAATATGGAAACTAAAACTGCAAAATGAACCTGCCAAGGAAGTTGTGAGCAGTCAAAGTTGGCTGGAAGTAAAGCATTACATATGAACCGTGCTAGCTCCGGGCTTTCAGAGTCGCCGCGGAGTAGTGGTAGTGCTCTCGCTCTCCAGCCGGGAGGTCGTGCATTCTCTTTCCGTTGAAGTGCAACTTTCGAGAGCACTACCACTACTCCATGGCGACTTTGAACGCTTCGGACGGTACAACGACTCATATGAAACGCCAACTTTAACTGCTAACGACTTCCTTGGAGAGTTTATTTTGCAGTTTTAGTTTTCATATTCGTAATGCAAATTGAAAGCCTCTATCGAATACATAACTCCCCGATTCCAGTTCAATGGAAGTCAACGTGAGCTCAGCAGAATGCCCTTTCCTGTTAGTTCTAATACGTACAGCCACGAATATTTCTTCAGTATATTCGAACGTTGACTCGCCTGGTTTTGCAATTCTTTGCGGAGATCAGCAGGCAAACAATCAGTGTTTCCGAGTTGAGGTGACTTCATCAACGTTTCAAGAATTAATCAGTGGATTGGTGAGCGTTTGCACTATCGTATGAGTGTAACGCATTAGAGACAACTCGCGCCCGAACTCTTGAACCTATTTACCAACATACAAGGCGTCTTCCAGTAAATGATAAACTAAATGACGAAGTCAGCGGCCCGAGCGCCACAAATAATGAATCCTAGAGCACTGTTATTCACGACGACCTGCCCCGACATGCAAAGGTTGAATCGACCTAGGATAAACGCAAACTCAAATGCGTTATCCGGATTTCGTATTTGAAACACCGTACCACATCGTTTGGCGCTTCTGGTGAGCAGTTTTACTTTCATTATGGTAACCTTTTTCCAGGATTTCTAAGAATTTCCAGTGAGGGGGTGGCCTGTCGCTTTCTGAAGGTAATGAACGTGTTGACGGGTGGAAGCATCAAGGCTTTCCGTTGAAGGGCGTCAGGTCGCCCCCTATTTATCGACTGATACATTCATCCAACCGAAGTTAATTGTCTAACCGATGAAGCAAACCCACCACCTGCCTAATTGCGTAACCGTTAATTTCTCTCAACGAACATATTCCTGTTACGAGGTGGGAGGCCAAAAAACAAAAGAGCCATTTTGCCGTTGACACGCATCATCAATTTTTTCGTCGTGCAGGGTACCGTTGCTGATAAAAGTTACTGTGAAATATTCCTTTTATGTCCCCCATAAGCAGAAACAGGCTCTCCATCATTTTTTTATTTCTCAAACCTCAATAAATATGTTTAGTTATTCATTTGTCTTTCTTTAGTAGTACGGGTTTTTATGATCACTTGGTCTTTTTAACGCAGTTTGTGGCCACCCTCTAAAGTACCTACGCACTTTTTTACGCCTTGGGGCAGCGTAGTACCTCCATAAACTTGATGAAATAATTTATCATGTGAATCATAATGAAGGGTGGTCTTATTAATCAGAAAGAAGCGAATGAATTCAAAAACCAGAAAAAAGAAAAGACCTTTTGGGGCTTGTCCTATGGGCTAACAGGATCCCACATGGTCGGCGAAATGCATACCATATTGGGGCTGCCTTGTTATTACCAAATTGAAACAAAGGCTACTCTTACATTATGAAGTGAACCTCAACCTGCGAGAAGGTTGAAGGAGGTTTTCCCGCTACCTCGATGACTTTTTTAATTCCAGGTACCGTAACTTTGTGACCGTTTTTGCTCCGTTCTTCATTTTGGCGTATTTCAATATACGCATTGTGAAGGCACTCACCAAGCACACAAAAATGACCGTATGTCAAACTGCTGGTAACGCCCTTGGTTGAACAGCCGAAACGCAAGTAATAATACATTTTCAACTCACCGACTTAACATTAATTTTCAGCTCGCTTGCATTGCAGCAGAGGTTGGGCTGATTCTGAAAACTGTGAGGCACCAGTCAATACAAACTGCGCACTCGATAATTGTGGCATCGATTGTCCTATCGGTCACATGGAAAGCGTATCAAGGCGGCCCAGCACGCTCTTCCGTGTGGTGGGGTGTACTCACTCTTGTGCATTACAGTGTCCTCGACGAGTCACCTGAGTGTGCTAGCTCGTCCTTGATTCAGCTTACGTGAATGATCTAAGAAAACCGTCCCTTTTGGAAACTCTAAAGTTCAAGTACGGACCTGCGTTGGAGATTGTCCTGCTGACGCGGTGTTGGCTCTTGGTTGGATGCTTGTCCTTGCGTGCAAAGTAGGCTTTCTCAAACGTCGGACTTGCCACCTCCAACTGCCAAAACTACTGAAGCCTGCGGTGACAGTACGGTCAGCGGTCGCGGACCGTTTGGGAAGGGTGCTCGCTTCCAAGACCGCAGTCTAGGCCGTCGTTCCCGTGCACAGATCGGATTTCCTTGCTCTCAAGCTAGAAGGGTGCCTGCCTAGCGGTATCCCGGACCGTGCCTTGTTCGCACCCCACGACACGGCGCGCTTGCCTCGAAGCTAGCGCGAACAGACCATGCACAATCAACCGATACGTTGGACGGCATAGCGTACAAGTGGCCCCGGCTGGCGCCTCCTGACACCTACGTTCAGCACATGATAGATACAACACCATCATAAAATACTTCACATTTATGAAACGGTCTTTCCACAATCCAGTCGTCCTACTTTTACGTCTCGGCTGCCGGCTTGATCCTGCTCGCACTGTCCTCGGAAGGGTTCTTCGCGGGAATCATACAGTGCACTCTGCCTCTGCCTCTCCCTCAGATGTTGAGGGCCCTACAGCCGATCACACCATCGGGCCTAAGCGAGGCGAACCTCGATAGGGACGCATGGTGTGAACTTACCGATGCTCCGCCAAGGGAGACTACCGTGCGCCCGACCGCACGGCAGCAATGCGCCCATGAAGTGCTCTGCGCACTTCATGTGTCGCCCTTGGCCTCCTGGCGGCCGTAGCCTGAGGCTCCCCTCACGGAGAGGAAGTACGCCTCAACCGGCAGAGGCGACCGCATGACGACGTGGCGCACGCTTCTAGGGCCGCGCGCGCCCGACGTAAATGGCCATGGAGCGAAATAGAGCCCATGCGTGCAGCGCGCGGACGACCGTCGCGTACCGTGACACGGCGTATTTTTAAACCCCTAGCAAGTGATTTCCCAACCTCACAAAAGCTACAGTACGTGATGATTAATCTGTATAATTTCCTCTTGAAATCCGCTTTGTTACTGCTTTTTTGCACTTTTTCCTTAACTGTGCATTTGTATGGTGCTGCTAAAAAAGTGATTCCTATTGTTAGATGTCTGAAAATCCGAATCTGGATCCGGTGAAGCGTAAGGTAATATCGGTTTGCTCGTTCGATGCATGCTTGTCTGATGTTTGCCGTGATTTTCTTACTTTTCCATAAGGATGTTTGTGTTTTTTGAGTTTCCACCATGGCAACAGAACCTTCTTCTGAACGAGAAGGGAGCAAGTTCCCCGTAACACATGTCTAAAATCCCCTAACAGGCTGGGATGCTCTCATAGCTAGTGTAATTGGGTGATATGTTCTTGTCTTCGTCTCGATGGTCCCTCTGTTCTCTCGCTTCTTCGACGTCTGCTATGTCATCCCATCTCCTAATATTTTTCGCTAACAATATCGAATCACTCGCAAAAATGGAGACCCTTCAAATACAGTTTTTCATCTATTTTCCGAAGATGCTCACCTATGGGTGAACACTACGCCCCAAGTGGAACTCAACCCCATACCTCTCACATACCAGGTTTTCGAACAACTCAT